ATTAAACATTTGGTTTTATATCTGTGAGAGTTTGTGTGATTTAATACATAAAAGTGGACCACAGTTTCATGCACCGAATATCAATTTTAACCATTTTATACATGATTTTGCATAGTGTATTTATGGACTGTACAACTTACTAACTTTATTTTCACTTAAATTTCCACTAAACAGGCATCAATAATTTCTCTCTTGCAAAGCGAGAAGTTATACCACATGCTCTGAATTCTTCCATACCAGGCATCTCATGGAATTTGACATGCACACCCCCACCCTCACCCTGTCATCTGACTTCTTGTCACAAATCCATCCATCCAGTCATTCTCTCACAGACGCTGGAGACACACTAGCAGCGAGCGCCACAGGTCATTGGCCCTGGATTCCCTGCCTGTCGGGGGTTTTCTGCTCTGTGACTCAATGACAAACCCATCACCACGTCGGCGGGCCTTGCCTGAGCTCTCCTCCCCCCAGCTGTTCGCATTGGAAGGGAGGAAGGATCATCCAGGCTCTCTGCCCCGGGCCTTTCAGACTCAGAGAAAAGAATCTGTCTCTCGGCGGAAGCAAGAAGCTCTCTGGACAATAGTCATATTCTGCTGAGGGACTGTTAGGACGCAGGAACGGACCAGAAGGATGCTGAAAACCCCGCCAAACATCAAGAAGGCAGTTAATGAAAAATCCTCTCAAGCTCAGCAGAAATACTAGAGGCATTCATGGTGGTTCAGGGGCTGTAACAGCAAAACATCCTAAGACTAAATGTAGTGCATTAGAGGTCCAAACTCCTAAGACTTGCTCACACTCAGTAATATGCTGCAGGTAATGCGCCTTGTTGTCAAAGCTGTTGCAAAAAAAATCACATTTTTTAAAAGTTTATTTTGATGGAAAGCAAGATAATAAGGAACTCCCCATTTCAGCAGCTCATTACGTGTATAGGCTACGTTAAATAAACGCAATAAATACACGAATAACGCTGATTCCATGCCCAAACCTACAACGTTTCTGAACTTTGACGCGCACGTTTCTGGCATTGACCAATAGCGAGCTGTCCTGACAGTGACGGAGAGTCTAAAAATTTTTATTGAAGAAAATGGTGTCAAATGGTGAATAAAACAACCAGGGGAAAGTAAACACGTCAGAAAATAGAAGAGAAGAGAAGTTATTGTTATACTGAGCCAACAGTTATCTTGCAAGCAAAAAAAGCAGGCCATGGTCGCCAACATCAAGCTTCTTTAAAAATAAAACCAGGTGGCTGAGAATTAAAGTCAGACATTGGGTTCACAAATACAGCTATCTCTGCTCCGACCTATTTTACACCTCATACGAACTACAACAGAAGATACTGGTCGATGTGCGAGTGAGGTCCCTCAGCATTATCCTGCCGCAGTGTGTGAGTGTGACCTCAAATTAACATGTAAGTGGGGAGAAAACAGCTCAATGCTTGCCAATGTTGTGCCGGAGCAAACACAAACACACGAGTTCCTGTGGCCGTGTAATCATTACAGAGCACGTTCTCCAACAGATGCAGAGAGAGGGAGAGAGAGAGCATCCCTGGCTGCAATATCACATCTGTCCCGAGTCCCGAGTCTCCATAGAGACCAAAACACAGAACACATACAGTTTGTTTTAGGCTCTAGACGGGACTGGGTGATTCATCATGTTGTTGAGAAGTGCTTAAGCAGCAGATTTGAAAAAAGAAGAGATGGAGACTCTAATTGTCTAATATGTCCTGTGTACGGTCCAAGCTCGAAGCTAACAAGCAGAGGAGTCTGGGACGCGTGAGAGATAACTGCGGGCCGAGCTGATTTCCTGCATGACTTTACACGTATGGGAAGCGGAGCGTCATGCCAATCCTAATAGTGAAAAGCCTTGACTTTCCTGTACTCCGGCCCGGTTGTCTTCCTTCCAGTCATCCACCTCCAGGGTTGTTACATAACACCACATTGGCGCTGCTTTTAGCTCCACAAAGGAGCCATTTGAATGCGCTCTCAAAACACTGTTACAGGCTTCAGTGGCTGCGAGAACATGCGTTTACTTTGCCCTCTTTCAGCGTCTCTTCTACTCATTTAAACATCCTGAGCAGCAGATAAAAAGGCCGCTAACATAATCTGGAGGAGAGCTCACAATAACTGAACATGGAGCGCACTGGGGAGTGAGTGTTTGATCCTTTCCACACATAGGGAAAGATCAGTACAGTATACAAGGAGGAGGCATATTTTCATTCCACAGTCACAGCTCCGGCCAAGAGATAACTTTATCCAACAACTTGTGAAAAAAATTAAAATAAATACCAGCGAGGCCTCTCAGAGCTCGAAATAACGAGGTAGGTGACTCTTTAGCATGCAGCTTGTCTGGCTGTAGCCTCGCTGTTTAGCATATGAAACAAGGACGGAGATGGTTAGAGCAAATACCCTTCACTCAGCGCTTCCTGAGATGTGCCTTTCTCCAGCCCAGATGGCAGTCATTAAGGTGCTGCTGCCAAGTCTGGAAGTCTTTGATTTGGGAGCAGAGATTTTATCTCCGGGAGCACACAAGGGCAGTGTTGGAAAGTAAATGTACTCAAATACTGTACCTTTTTTTTTTTTTTACTTCTACTCCACTGCATTTCAGAGGCAAACGTTGTACTTTTTACTATGCTACATTTACAGTATACATTTACAGATTTTACAATGCAGTTTTTCTTGACAATACTGGACAAACACTTGCTTAAAAGTGGTCATATAAGCTGCAGTTTCAGGCAAATTGACTACATTAATTTGGCCACAGCCCATAAGTAACAGTTCAAATCGAGTAGAATTTACATTATTTTATGAAAAATGCATCTTCTAGAAGGTTAAACTGTTTATTGCACGTACAATTAACATCACTGTGTATGTATTTATCAACCACAGCAACAAGACATTTGATCATTAACAGGTTGTTTGCATGGAGATATGAGAATTTTGCTTTGACTCTATCCTTAAAAGATCACTGCAAGTCAGTTCTACTTTGCATCTGTTAAACCTGCTTTATACTACCAACAGTCGAGTTTCAGACAGACATAATACTGAGGGAGGGGCTAAAATACAATAACTTCCAGGACAAAATAGATTATTTCCAGGATATTTGGTCATTTTAATCAGTTTCCAGATGTTGGGTTGGTTTTCCAGGGCGAGTGGGGACCGTGATATGATAAGCTTATGAAATATAATGCACTATTTAAAGATTAAAGCCAGACTTGTGACCCGTTACAATAAAGCAATGTCTGGTTGGGGCTGCATATCATGTTTCAGATGTCTATTTGTCAGCAGCTCCACCTTTTAAACTGTCCTCAACCCACATGCATGGTTCCCTTTTTTTCCAGGACAAACAGAGCTATAAGTCTGACTCATCATTTTATCTATTAATGAAAAATAAAGCTTCCAGGAGCTCAAAATATAAGACACACAAGCCTGTAAAAATGTACAAATATTTAGCAATAATCAATCGAACACACATGATTTCACTATTTATATACACAAATGCAAAAAAAAAGTATAATACAGTTTTTTTACATTTAAAGTCATTTCATCCCCACTTGCTTTGTGCCTTTTTTTTTTAACAAAAGTCTTAAATAAAATGTTGGATTCAGGACTTTTACCTGTAATGGAGTATCTTTACATTGTTGTATTGGTACTTTTTTAAAAGTAAAGGATTTTCCACCATTGCACAAGTATCAAAGACCTTCAGACTCCCCTCACACCCTCAGAGGCTCTTGACTCTTTGGGGGCAGAGGACCAGGTTTAGATGTGGGTCTAGAAAATTCCTGACTTATTTATGTAACCTTTGGTGTGTGCGGCTGTCAGGGGGCTTTGTGGGGGAAATCTTCAGTTTCCTCTGATCCTATGACACTTTTTAAACTAGATACTGACACATCGATTGATTAGTTGACCGACAGAACATTAATCAGCAAGTATTTTGATAATTGAAGCACAGCAAAAACATATAAATTAGCTGGTTCCAGTTTCTTAATTGTGAGGATTTGCTGCATGTATTTGTCTTTTATTTATTTGTGTTATGTGAAAGTGAATATTTTGGGGTTTTGGGAGGTTGGTCAGACAAAACGAGACTTGTTGTGAGCGACATTTCTCATTATTTTCTCACATTTTATAGAACAAAAGGATTTACCTTAAGAAAATAACCTGCAGTTTTACTGATAATGAAAGTAATCTTTAGGTTCAAACTATTCATTTCCCACAAATTTAACTGATTATTCCATTAACTCATTGAAAAAAGTATTAAAAAACAAAACAAAAAAGACACTGATAGGCATTTGAAGGCATCATCTTGGGCTTTAGGCTTTATTTTTTCTGACCTTGTATAGAACAGACACTTAATCAATAAGTCAACAAGCCTAATTAAAGAAAAATCATTAGCTGAAACTCCAGTGTGAAGTGCATCCTTTGGGCAGGAGCTCACTCTTAAGGTGGAATCAATAAAACACCTCACAGTAAATCATCTCCATCCATTTTGCTACCTTTATTTCTTCTGGGTCGTGGTGTCTAATTACACTGATCTCCTTAAAAAAAACTCAACTCTCAAATGGATGCTGATGAAACAAGAATAAAAATGTAATAATCTGACACAGTGAGGAGGACCATTAAACAGACTTTGATCTCAGCAGCTCCAGCTCCATGTGACAACTCATATGGCTGCATCATCATCATCATCATCATCATCATCATGCCGACTGTAAGACCTGACTGACCGACTGAGGCTGTGAACATACTCACAAATCTGCCTGTTATTGTAATCCAGACACCATTTATCGGATCAGGCTATTTAATCCCACTGAGATTTGACTACAACGTGTCGCAATTTAGCCCGATCATAACAGAGAGGGGGGGCACATGCACATCCACTATAAGGGGATAAATAGTGCAAATTAACCCCCGCAAACAGCAAGAAAACCGCGCAGTCTCCTATCAGTAAATGTAGCGTTCAACAGTTCAATGCAATGAGCCAATACAAGAGTTTCATGCTCTTACCTAAACCGGGGTGAATCTTTAATACAGTCTTCAAAATCCACCGTCATTTTGGACTGGAGTAAAGTTGTTTTTGTTTTTAAAACAAACAAAAAAAAACGGGTTTAAAATACGGATTTCATGTCCTGGAGTAAGAGTAGATGTAAGTATCCGATACAGAGATCCTCCCTCGGGCTCCGGCTCCTGCAGCGGCTCACTCTCTCACTCAGTCCCGCTTTCTGAAGCTCCGGAGCCGCCTCACTCAGTGCTGGAGCCCGTGCTGCCTTCAGGCGCTCCTGCGAGGCTCGGATTTTTAAGATGCGACGTTCGATGTGCGATTTGTAGATGGATAGATAGATACTTTATTTATCCCGAGGGAATTTCAAGTATCCAGTAGCATACGAGACATACATTACATACATAAAACATACATTAAACATACATTCAAATGAAATTAAAAATGAAATTAAAAATAAAATTAAGTAAACAGTGCAATGGAATGGAGTGCAAAGTGTAGCCTGTTTAATATGAGTTTATATTTACTCAAGTACTTTACTTAAAAGGTAGAATTTCAAATAGGCTACTTATCTTTACTTGAAAACATTGATTTTATTTGATTTGATATTCACTTTTGTTACTCCATTACAATTATTTGACATATGTTGCTTTGAAGATTAGGATTTCTTACATACAAAACATATCATTAATGTATACAACATTGGGAATTGTTGTCGATTAATCTACCCACATTTACTCCACTACAGTCATTTAACATTCTCATTTATTTGCAACTCATGATGATGATCACAATCCTTACTTGTAGCCGCAGCTCCCGTCGTGTTTTTTAATTTTGCTGCAATTTTCCCAGGCTTGGGATCAATAAATCCAGGTATCTATCTATCTATCTATTCTAATCTATCTATCTATCTATCTATCTATCTATCTAGTATAAACAGAATATACAGTAACGTTACTTGAACAAATGAAGGGCATTCTTCCTAGTTTACACATCATTTTAGGTTTATCTGACTGTAACAACAACATGAATTTAAATATAGACAGATGGTTTAAATAATACTTTGGCAGATATCTTTAATTATGCTTACATTCTTACATTCAAACTATGATACTCATCCCCCAAACAGTTGTCATTACAGAGGCTGCAGATCCTCTGGTTTCCATCCAGCCCTTCATATCTTCCAGTGACCTTAGGAATTCTTGTGTTGTTCACTCTAAAATTACAAATAGCCTGTCTAGGCTGTACTTTTGGTTTTTGTACAACAAATATTTTTCCAATTTAAGCTCTTGTTTAAATTCTACATAAACATCACATAACATCATGTTTCTGACTTTTGCAGCCAGAACAGCCAGGGGTGAAAGAAGTACTTGAATCTTACTCAAGTAAAAGTAGCAACACCACAATGTAGAAATACTCTGTTACAAGTAGAAGTCTTGCATTCAAAATTACCTAAGTCTAAAAGTTAAACATTACAGTGTACTTAAACTACTAAAAGTAAAAATACTTGTTATGCAAACTGGTCCATTTTCAATGCATTACTTTTACTTGTAATGGTGTATTTTTACGTAGTGGTATAGCTACTTTTACTTAAAGGTAAAGAATCTAAATACTTCTGCTGAACCAAATATAATGTTTTCAAGTTGTGAATACAGTGATTGTGGTTTTCTATAAACTTACTATAGTATATTTTATAGTATATTTTAAGCAGCATTTCATCTTAAAGGAAGTCTGTGCAGCTCAAGAGCTCCAAAAGTTTAATGGAGTTTTGATACTAAAAATTAATCAAATGGTCCCTAAAATACCACCCTAGAAAATGTGACAAGTAATAACTAACTTTAAAAGGTTTTACATACATAAAATTAACAATTGTATAGAGTAAATTATTGTCCATTTAAGCAGCATTTTAATGTTGTAGCTGGTTGATGTTAGGCTGCTTTAGTTACTTTATATACTGTTGTCATCATCATGTTGTATATATTGTAGCGGTCGTTGGCGTTCAAACTCTGTCTGATAAATAAGATAATTTCATATTACAACCAGCAAAACCCTTCCAAAGGAGCTGATACAGGCACCAACCCCTTGCTTGCAGGAACACACACCAAAATACAACAGGCAGGAAACACAACACAGCAAATTTCTTTAATCCCCACAGTGTATTATACAGTCAGTGCAAAATATATAAAACCCACACTTCATTCAAAATAAAGGATAAAGGAGTTCTCAACACAAAAAAATATTCTCTTTGGGCACCCAGAAACTAAACCCTAATATGTTATGAATGTAAAATGTTAATATTAGTTAACTACAGAAGTCAAATGCATGTAGTAGAGTAAAAAAGTGTAGTGGTAGCCAACAGCATAAAGTAGCATAAAAATGAATGTTTTTCAAAGTAAAAGTGTATTTCTTGCCACCACTGATCACTGAGCAGATCCTCCATCCTTTTTGCACAGCTGCACGGTGTCCTTTCCGCACACGTCTGGTGACAACGCTGACATTTACGACGGCACCTGAACGCGACAGGCGCTCAGCACTCCGCATGAGAACCGGTGGAACGCTGACGTCACGTTCCATCTCATTTGAATGAATACAAGGACGATTGTAATCAGATTACATATTACAGCAGCAGCGTTTCGGTGGTTCAAATAGAAAATAACTACAAGGCGCATGTTAGTTTGCTGTGCTCATAATTGTTAATATTCTTTGCATTTTCCGATAAGACAATAATGGTTCAGCGTGTTTGAGATTGTTCAGCTACAGTTGATCAGAGATGTGTGAGGAAGGTATTTTTATCCTCTCTGGTTGCTGTAACTCCAGTTATGAATAAGCAAACACCCACACTTGGCTTCAGTTACTGCTCTGGGTTCAGAGATGCTCCCCACAGTCAGATCCTCTCCTCCTTTTTCACACCTCTGATACAGTATGGTATGTTCTCCGTGTCGCACAGTTTTACAGTGTAAGCTGTTAAATCAGTTTCATCTAAAATGCTGACTCAGTGAAACTAATTGCCTGATTCTAAAACACTTTAAAGAAAGCTTTACACGTAACATCCTCTGCTGCATCTGTCTGCTTTCCCATGCAGCTGTTAAATGAGGGTATATTAAAGTGAACCCCCCCCCCCAGCAAGGCTATTATTAATTCACAGGAAATGGGAAAGCTGGGAGAAAGAGTGCCTGCTTGGGATTTCACTGCAGGTTTTCATAGAGCGCCATTGTTCCTTTCCGATCCCGGCTTTAGAAAGGCTGCTGCTCGGGCCCTGAATGGAGATGATCTCATCCGCTCTCAGCAGAGGTGTCCTGACTAAAACACCACCATCAGTCACTGAATCTCTGAGGAACGACACAGACTTTATCAGTGCTTGCAGTGGTTCGTTGTGTTAAATTGACAGTTTGTCCACCACTTTGGTCCAGACTGAAACATCTCTTAATATATGGGATGGATTGACATGTACAGACGTTCATGGTTCCCAGACAATGTACTGACTTCTGGTGATCCCCTTATTTCCTCTCTAGCACCATCATGAGGTTGACATTTGTAGTTCTGAGTCAACAACTATTTGATGGATTGTCATGAAATTTGGTAAAGACCTTCATGTTCCCCTCAGAATGAATTACAGTCAAGTTTTAATGCCATCATCAGGTCGAAAACGTCCGTCCAATAGCTCGGTTCATGCAGCACTAACGGTAACGGTGAACATGGTACAACACTATAACCGCTGATATAGGAATTTAGCTCAAAGCACTGTTTGATCAGTTCCACTAAAGGATGATTACAAAACCACAGGAGCTCCACCAACACAGCGGCTATGTTTTCTTGCATAAATGTCCTAAACTGCTTTGGGGGACAAAAAAAAGAAGAAGCAATTTCTCAAGTCTTTTGACTCCCCCCCAACCATCCCTCCTCTCCTTCTTTGCCTCCCAGTTCCTTTTACTAATCTGAGATCAAAGCATCTACTGCTTATTTATGGAGCTGTTGAGTCAGCAGTCGGCTGATCTGAACAGGCACACTACTGGGGGAAACTTAAGAGCACACTTGGTAGCAAAACCTAAACCGGATTCCAGATTCTGGATTTTATTACAGCAGCAGCAGCAACAGGATCATACAGACATCAGAAGTTATCAGGCCAAATGTTTCCATTTGACAGTTTTCACCTGCAAGAGCTAATGACATTCACATCAGCATCAACCGTACTGTGTTTTGCGGCATTTCGAGCAAGTTGGCATGCTGAATTTTAGCATTTAGCTGTGGGTAAATGGGCATTCAAGCAGAAAACAGCATTAAAACAACAGTGATTTTCTAACTTTCAGACAGAGCCACACTAGCGGTTTCCACATTTCCAGTCTTTATGCTAAGCTAAGCTAGCCTGCTGCTGGCTTTATATTCAAATAGACAAATACGAGACTTTTTTCCATAATATCGAACAATTCCTTTGCGGTTTGTGGCGGTTTTTGGGGCAGACTGTGAGTCAAATGATTCACAGCGAAGACTGCGGAGCCATCATATCAGTAATGGTGCGTTCATGGCCCGTCTCCTGCTGCTTTTGTTTCCTGTGTGGCATCTAACAACAGCAGGGATGAGGCTTTTTTTCTGCCTTCATGCAGGAAAAAACGAGTGGAAAGGGAGCTGTCGACTCCCATATTTGCTCCCATCACAGGCCCTCTCACGGCAGACACGAGCTCAAGTGCAGTGTGGAATCCATGGGAGAGACGTGTGGGTCTCTGGGAGGGTGACCTACTTTTGCTCCCCTCTTTGGTCTGCTGGAGAGAGCTGCGAGTTGCGCTGCTGAGCACACAGCTTGTAATGTTATCCCTTCTGACTGCAGGTGCAAGGCTCTACAAGCCACTATCAATGAGGCATGTACAGAAGCTGCATGAATTTGATGCATTATGCACGCATATGTCTTCTCAGCACTTAACGTAGTCCTAAATGTATTCCCAGGTCTATTCATTCTAAATGTAATCTTTTCGTAGGACTGCTGCGCTTACACTGGTGGCAATATGTGTATGTTCTATATGTTCTTAGAGGGTGGGTGGACGTATGGACACATACTGGGATGATCATTGTATTGTGATACTGTTTATGCTTTCGAGCTCTGCAGAATTCTTTATCCAGTGTGAAACAGCCAATCTCAACCAGCGGGCTGTGGTGGACCTCGGAGCGCCCTCTAGGGGGCCACGGAGGAGGTGGTGATAAACATAAAATAAAAAATGTTTTAATTTACAAAGCTAGTTATTTTACTTTTTAAAATAATTTACATTATTTAAAAAACAGCAAATAAATATGTATAATTTCATAATGTTACGTTTGAAGGTAGAGACCGTGTTTAGCCACTGTTCCCGCAAATCAATTTTTCAAATGAAAAAGGGATGTGGGACGCTGCATCAGTAAAAGCTCTAAAGCGTTGCTGAGTAAATATGACACTAAATACATTCATTACGGCAGGAAGGGACGCTGAGCCAAATGAATGTTTTATCATGGTACGTTACGTTTTCCTCCTCTGTTTGGGAAGGTTGTCCTTAGAAGACGACCTGAACTTACAAAAGGTTGTAAAACAAAGACATTAAAATTTAAATGTTAGAAGTAGTCTGGCTCTGTCCAAAAAAATCCACCTACAAGCACCTGTTGTATCTCGGTTGTTTGACCTGTACAAAAATTGGAAAGGTGCAGTCTGTGGGGTTTAGTGGCATCTAGTGGTGTAGTTGTAGATCTATCTAGAGCCAGTGTTTGGTTTGTCCCTTCTGGGCTACTGTAGAAAGATTCCACATAGCAGACCCCATGGAAGGCGACCTGCGGCATCTGTTGATTAAAAAAAGGCTCATTCATAGCGGCGGTGTTATAGTTTATAATTACTGTGGTTGCTGCAGCCTCACTCCTCTCTTCTCTAGATTAATATTCTTTTGGTATAAATAAGTGATTTTGAAATTGAATGTTATATTGTTCCATACTGCCTAATTCTTTAAAAAGGCATTGCATTTTATAATTATAAGTACGAGTCATTTTAGACAGACACAGTGTTTCTATATACAGTCCAAGACATTTATTTACATTTGAGGGAAAAGTAATTATTGCTTTGTTTTGCATTGAAATTATTTACTTCTAAACACGGTGTTTAGAGTGTGTTTTTAGAGGCTGCAAATCAGCGGAAAATAAGAGTAGGGAGTACAAATAAATGAAAAACAAACAAAAATACAGCTCGCTCAGTTGACCGCTGGGTTCGGACCATTCGGGTTTGGATCATTCTGGTGTACGTTCGTTGCTCGTCTCTTGAGGTGTAGAGCTGGCCCCTGTAAGGTAAAACACACCAGCAGTCAATCAGACAGAACAGTGGCGTAGCAAACCTCCGCGATTACAGTCTGATGATACGTTTGCAGAAAATGTTTACAAAAAACGCTTGGAACGGTCAGCTGGTCTTACCTAGGCCTCTACTGGTGCGGGACTCAAGTGAAGGTGAGTTGGGACATTCGGAAGGAGGCCACGTGTCCTGAGGTGATCAGGTCTTACAATCCCACATCTCGGCATCCCGTATCTGATTGGAGTCTCAGATCAGCGATGTAACGGCAGTCCTTCGCGACATTCGCGGTGTTGACAGCCCAACTTCTGGATGATTCTCTGGTATTGTTGAGCTATAATGAAAAGTATCTGTGTTTAAAATCCCCAAAAGTGTCTATTTTTGTTACATAAACATTTTTACAAAAGGTCTTATGAGCAAGATACAAGCAGGTTATACCCTGGCATCCCATCCCTGAGTAAGGACACTAGGGACTATGTGGAACAATGATGGGGAAAAGAGCTGGACATTGAAATAACTCAAGACATGTGCTTGAATGCCTGGGAAACTCAGTCGTCCTCCACAAACTCCCGGACCTGGAGAGACTTCAGTTGGAGAAACCTGATTCTCTCTCTTTGTTTTTTTTTAAAAATCACTCCCAAACAGAAGTCTAAACAAACTGGCGCTCAGCTATGCTGCTGGAGGGAATGTTGAGAAATCATGGTTGATCGTGCTCATGTTCCTCCCCCCGTCCCTCTGTTCAGACTTTCTGGAAGGAAACAGTAACAATCATCTAAAAAACAACCCTGGGTTTGAGGAAGAGAACAACATTCACATCCCTCTAGCCGAGTATTGACGATACTAAAGCTCTTGCTGGCATCAAATAAAAATACAGGCTTCAGAACAACTTCTTCTAAACGGATGGTGGACAGAAACTAAAATGAACAAACATGGTAGCAGAATGGTTTGTTTACTTTGCCAATGAGACAGACCTTTCATAGTTATTGTATCATGTACAATATTTTATTTGAAATGAAGCAAACTTGCCTCTATTTACTGACCATTCATTGACCTGACTTCTGTTTTTTGTCTCTTATTTGCTTTGTGCTTACTGTCAAGTGAAAAGTTGCATTGATGCACCTGAAAAGGGCAAGATAGGAAAAAGTAAACCAATATCAATAGGCAAATAAGAAAGGAACTTTATTAAAAAAAAAAAAACATCTAATGAATGAAAAAAATAACAAAACCAAAACTCCTTCTGCACACTGGTCATCATTTAGGGCTTGCCTCTTGTCTTCCTCTTCCTAAAAAGCCACGGGACATACCTAGAACAACAACACCGTCTTTATTCTGCAGACGTTGGATCGCTGTACATCTCTTGTCCTCCCAGAATTCCTTGATGGCTTTCTGAGGCAGTAGGTGTCTTGAACGCTGACACTGGTGTCCATCCCAACAAAGCCCATGTTCATGTGACTGAACAGGTGTGACACTTTGTAGTAGTAGTTACTCTCAGACAGAGGTGTGTTTGTAACATTCATGAAGTCACCTGCCTGTATTCTGTATTTGAGTGTGGGCCGCCATCGCCATTTCCATATTTGTAGGCCATTGGAAAATATCTGTAAGAAAAAGACACAGTAGGAAGATTAATAGACATACTAACTTAAAGATTGCCACAACTGACAGATTTATTTAGGACATTTTGTCCCAGATAAACTCCCCAGACTGTATACACCATTAAAAAGTAAGTGTCAGATATATCAGATTATATCATCCTCACACGTTTAAACCAACGCTGGTACAATTTGTTCCTACAACAAAATTAACACTTTTTCTACCATTTAAATGAAATGATCACAATAAGAGGAACATCATCATGGACCAGACTTTACTGTTACATGTACATGGGGACTGTACTCTGTATAAAGCAAGTACAGACTAGAGAAGCAATCTGAAGAACTCCTTCTCAGCTGAAGACTCCTCGTCAGTGTGGAAAAGTATTAAGCAAAACCACAGACGACAAGAAGAAATCACACCCACTGTACGGACAATGTTTGCCAATAGTCTCAGTCACAGTCTGCCCACGGACGCTGGCAGTCCGTACTTAACTCCGGTGTGAAACAGGCGGATAGAACTGATTATATCAGTCCGCCTTTGTTTATCGAGCTAACAACACGGTTCCCAGAATGCGCAAATAAACTCAATTCTGACCAACCTCAGACTAATAGACGGGATAGAGTCCTCATCAGAACATCCGTCCTCACTGGCTGTTTCCCATGTGTCGTCATCTGGGCCTTTACAGTCAATCCTGCAAAAAGAAATAAAATAAAAACACAATAACTCACCCGAGTACACACAAGCCATTAAATGCTACATAAAACACCACAGTTAAAGTCACCTTTCATCTAGGGCTTCTTCTTTTAAGTCTGCCATGGAAAGGTCTTCAGGCTCCAGAAAGCTGTGGTCGCTGTAAAACAAATGTCAGCCATTTGACCTGCGTACTCATTTCTATATGCAGCAACTTGTAGAAGTGAGGTTCAGGTATTCCTTACCTATCTGGTTGTGAGTCACTGGATGTTGACATGGTTGAGAGGGTCTGAACAGGCAATCCACCTATCCTGCTAGGAGTTGACGAGGCTTGTTCTCCTTTGTGGTAACTGTTCAGTTTGACAAAAAACAACAACACTGTAATGTTTTATGTCCCACAACCTGATAATACATTCATAGTACGTCTTACACAAAGGCACCAGATGAACTTAGGGCCAACCGATCATAAACATGCCTCAGAGAAATCACGGTGTGTCGGAGCTCACTGTCCTCACACCGAACACGCACAGTCTAGTCATTAGGGCAACAAATACAGATTATTTTCTCAATTAATTGATTAGTTCTTTGGTACTTTGACATCCTCATATGTCTTGTTTTGTCCACAACTCAAAGATATTCAGTTTCCTGTCACAGAGGACTGAAGAAACCAGAAAATATTCAACATTTGAGAGCTGAAAATCAGAGAATTTGGACATTTTTTCTTTGGAAATGACTCAAAACTTGATTGTTGATTATTAAAATAGTTGCTGATTCATTTAAAAGGTCCAGCCTGTAGGACAGCCTGGTTGCAGACTGCAACTCCCTCGCTTCACCCTCCCCTTCCAAGCGCGAAGGAGAAACTACGGTGGCCACGAAATGCAAACAACCTGATCTACAGCCAAAGTTTGATTTGTCCATTCTGGGCTACTGTAAAACCCAACTCTTATTTTCAAGTGATATTATATTGTATTTATGCCAATAGATGAGCCTGAACGTTACATACTGGACCTTTAACAGTTGACAACTAATCGATTAACCCATCAGTTGTATGTGACCACTTAAATGGAACAGAGCCTTAATTCGAGTCAGTTAAGAACACCTGAGTTTACCCTACTATTATCGCGTATGGCTGCTGTGAAAAAGGGAAAAACCCACTCACCCACTCTCCTGCCAGCAGTGTCATTATTCTAATAATATAACTGTATTATTATTATTATTATTATTATTATTATACTTACTCGTCTAGCAGGAGACATGCGAGCTCGGAGTCTTTCTGTAGTCCGAGCATGTCTCGAACTTCTCTCCATCTTCTGAGCGCAGCCCCGATGTTCACCCGGGTCCTCGCTCTCTTACGGCCCCATGTCCTCCGCTGCTCGGCCGGGTCGCCGGTACGTTTGCGCTTTGCTGCAAGCGGCAACGAATATTCGTGATCCATCGCAGGGGTTGAGCAACGCAAACATGAAAGCAAAACAAACAGAGGAGCTAAGTACAGCTCACTTTCATCAACAACTTCCCACTTGTCCTTCTTCTTCTGTTGAAGTTTGCGGAAGGTTTAGACGCAACAAAGGCGCATTGCTGCCCCAAACAGGTCACTTTCTACACTAGATAGACAGACAGACAGATAGATAGATAGATAGACAGATAGATAGATAGACAGATAGAAAGACAGACAGATAGATAGAGAGACAGACATTTATTTATCCCAGAGGGAATTCAAAAAGGTATCCCCAGTAAGCCATACAAAAATACAAAACATAACTTAACATACATTACAAAAACGCCTAAACCCTTAAAGAAACCAGAAATGCTAAAAAAAGATAAAAATATACAAAATATGAATGATATTCATAAATATAAAATTAACAAGTAGTACCAGTAAAAAAACAGTGCAAAACAAAGTACCCCTAGTC